ATTCTATTCTATTCTATTCTATTCTATTCTATTCTATTCTATTCTATTCTATTCTATCCTATTCTATCCTATTCTATCCTATTCTATTACCACTTTATGTTGAAAGAGTGAATGGAAAAGAACAATGTGAACAATGCAGTCAGAACCATTTTGAACCTACCATTTGAAGACCTCTGAATTGACAAATTATGTGTGAATTGTGACTAAAGTTTCATGATATGATCTACTCCAGCCTTGACTTTTTGTCCTACTCCTGACAAATGGTTGTATAATTTGGACTTTATCACTGATAAGTTGGAAGCAGCAATAAATGCACTTAAGGAATCACTTTGACATATCTATTTGACTTGGAGGAAATCTCTATTTAAATGTAAACCATTGTGCAAACTTCAGCAAGAATTCTTCCTATTTTGGTCTAGAAATCTCATGATGGTATATCTGATACATTTTCTTTAAGAAATTAGTAACAGTGTCCATTTTTCCAAAATATTTCTTAGTGATAGAGGTAATATACTTCCTGCTTATTTTTTATTTTTAAACAGGAAGGTACGGGAACCTATGAAGTCCCTTTGGGTGAAAAGGACAATGCAATTTTTTCCCCTTTAACCACTGGGGGCCCACTTTATTAACAGGAGGTACTATTGTATTTTTACAGTGAAGTCTCTGGATAATGATAATCAAAATTCTCTTATACTGTCTTGCCAGGTAACCAGGGAATAAAGATGTTTAGGCATATGGGATCCAAAATTCCAAGAAAGCTTAAAAGCAGATGAGGAGGAAGTATGATAAGCATTTTTATTTATTTATATTTTGGTTATCTAAGCAGCTCATTTATGCAAAATGGAACTTTTATAAAACAGCAACACATAAAGAGTAACATCTAGGGCAAGGGTCTTCAAATTGGGCAAGTTTAAGACTTGTGGACTTCAACTCCCAGAATTCCTGAGCTAACATGACTGGAGGAGGAATTCTGGGAGTTGAAGTCCACAAGTCTTAAAGCTGTCAACCTTGAAGACCCCTTATCTGGGGCATTAAATATGTTTGCAATTTGTTGTTTTCATTTATGAAGTCTCAACATGTTTGTGAAAATCGCCCCGATAAAAGTTTGCTCGTAGGCTGAAAAATGTGTCTAGGTGTTTGTCACCTGGTATAAAAAAGGATCAAATTGCAGGACAAATACATGAAGGAAGAGAGAAAATAGAGAAAGAAAGGGGAAGCATAAAATTGAGATCTTCAAATAGAGACAAGAAGATGGAGGGGGAGACAATGTATGAACTGGTGTATAGACATAGTGGAAGCAAGGATGACTTGCAAGATTAAGGTTATTGAAAGGTATTGAAACTTATTGTGGATATAAACTAGATTGAAATACACTTCCCTACTTATTCGTTTCACCACCTGGCATAAATGCCACAAGGTTAATTACATGGGAACCTGAAGGATATTGTCTAAAACAGAATTACCCAAGTGCTTGATGTTGACCCTCAAGGATAAATTGGGCTACTGCTGTTTCTGTGCTGCTTTTTCTTCATAGTACTGTTAGTTAAATTAGTATTTAATAATTATATTAATAAATGTTTTTGGGTCGATGAACAATATGAGACTTCATGAAGAGGTCAATAAGCTAGTCAGTTTGGGAATTGCTTCTCTAAAATAAAATACAGGCAGTTCAAAGTGATATTAATTACAAATTTAAATGGATATATATTTATAAAGCATTTACAAAATTTTCAGAAAGATGGCCAGTGATGGTTTCATTAGTTTTTTTTTCTTTAATTGGATGCTAGCATGAGAACCTAAAATATTTAATATTCATATTATTAAAATATTATTTAAAGTGTTTATTTTTGTAGTAAGTAAAAAAATGTAAGAATAGCTTAGAACTGGGATGCAAGGCTGTAATTTTCTAAGTGGGCTTTTCTCATTGATAACAGTTAACTGAACAAGTTGACATTTTAAGAGGGTTATGGACTTTTAAAAAATCAATCTTAAAAATGAAACAGGGAAGAACTGGTGTGGTAAACAGATGAAAATCAAGACATCAGATCCACAACCAATTTATATTTGCCTACATGTGTTGGAAAAAACATCACTTAATATGATGACATGTTCAAGGGATTAAAAATGATTTCAAACAGCTTTAGGACTTAAAAGTAAATGCCCTTCAGAAATGAGCTTGTATGCAACCAGCTGAATACTTTGCAGTCATTTGAAGGAGGCTTACTTGCTTAATAATTTGGGGAGAAAGGCCCATTCTTGCACAGTCACACTGTTACTGTATGTTTCAGCTTTCTTTGATTCAGATGGATGCGCAGTTCACAATGGCTTTCCTGGCACAAGATATTCTCAAGCTGAAGCTAATCCCAGGTAGAAATTCTGAACTAACTTCTTGGGAGCTTTCCAGTAGAGTTTCTGGGCAGGGCCCGAAATGAAAAATGAAAGATCCATCTCTTCAGCTGCAAAGCCACTTCAAATGAATAGCTCAGCTGCTGCATGCCAGTTTCGAACATCCAGATACTTCACAGAGGAAGTGGAGGAGGAAAAGGAGAAGTAAAACTACAGATACTAAAAAAAAAATGGCTAGAGGGCTAAAAGAGAAGTAAAACAAGGAAGATCCTAATTCCAACTACCCCAGTCCCCAACAAGTGCTATATTCCATTTAACAATAGTCTGAGTTAGTTAGGGAGGTATGATCAGCAGGGCAATGGGGAGGGAGATGTTATAAAATGACAGGCCTGGAAGGGACTTTGGAGATTGTAGGAAGAAAAATCTGGTTTATTTGGTTTCATAAATTTCAGTGACAGCAGCAATGTTTCTGGGGTGGCTGACCAAATGGCTGAGTGAGTGGATGGATCTTTACAGGATGGTTGAGATGCTCCAGGGAGTTGTGCAATGTAGTGAGCCTTCTGTCTTTTGCTATTCTAATGGGGGTGAGTAAATCCTAACATGTCCTAAAGGTCCTGTCCTGTCCTTAGAGCTGGGTGAGGAGGACGGGCTGCTTTCTGCCTTTAAGAGCATGTTTCTCTATTTCTCCTTTGGGGAAATATTGTATCCTGCCTCTTTTAATATTAAGGATAAATAATATTTTAATCTGGGGAGCGGGGGCTTCCTACAAGATCTTCTAGTCCAACCCCCTGCCAAGGGGAGGAGTGTGCCTATATGAATCAGCCCAGAAATGGCAGAGTTTCCATTCAATGGAGATCTACAAAGTCCTCCATTTAGAATATATAAAAGTTGATAAATGTTCTTAAGCAGCACCAGAGCCTGGCAACGGCCAGTTTTGTATTTAATTAAAATTCCTTCACAGTCCTGAGACAGCACATAAGGAAATGCCTAGTTCTTAGGGCTGGGAAAGTCACAGCCTATGCCCAGAGGAAATTCAGAATACGGGATGGGCAACCTACAGCAGCAGATTGGGATTGCGCCGATTTACCCTGTTTTCCTCGTCACAATTAACCAACCCGGGAAAACTGAATCAATAGCCTTGTCCAAGATTAAATAAGAAGCAGAGTGCAGCCTTGGATGGGAGACCACAAGCAAATTCTGGGCGTGTTTTTTTTTTTTTAACAAGCTCAGCATAGCAGACAACGGTAAACCATTGACATAGCGGGGCAAAACCTCACAGCGATGCCCAGAAAGCCAGCAGGAAAACCCTGTGGAGAACGGACTTCGGAAACCGCAAAATGTTCTGTGTGACTCTTATTTCTAAGTCGCGCGCTCTCGGGTGAACGTGTGTCATTATCAGCCGCAAAGAAATTGTTTTTTTTTTAATTAAAAAAGTATATATTTTTGAACGTGTCCGCCCACATCACACGCCCGTTTTCCACCTCAAAGGGCTGAAAGTCTCCCCAACCTCCTCCCCCGCCCCCTCCCTCGGCCGCAATGCCCTCGCCCTCCCCCGTCAGAGCGTCTCACTCGCGCACAGAAGAGGAGGGGAAGGGCGAGTAAGCGGCCTTTGGTTCCTTTCTCCTCTGGCTCCGCCCCCTCGCTTTCCCTCTCACTCTCATCCCGCTCGCTCGCTCGCTCGCGCGTGTGTATGTATGTGTGTGTGTGTTCTGCAGCGACTTCGCAAGCGTGCGCCCTGCCTATCGAGCGCGCTTGCTGCAAGCGGGCGGATCTTTCATATTAAAACGGGCTGCCTTTTCTTTTTCTTTTTTTTAAGCGGGTGGGAGATAGCAAAAAAAAAAAAGATTCTTCTGTGATTTTTTTCCCCTCTCCTTTTAAACTGGCGGCTTGCGATGCCTTTGCCTGGCGCACAACCTATAATGAATGAAGGGGATTCTTCGATCGCGCAGCGACACCTGTAAGGGGAGAGCGTACGAAAAGCGTAGGCGGAGGTGTGGTGCAGGCGGGATCTGAGATCTTTGCTGCAGCTAAAGACAAGACTGGTACCAGACGGGCACCCAACATAAAACATTTTTTTAAAAAAATCCAGCCTGCATGACCGTCACGAAGGTAGGAAACCGTTGCAAAAAAAAAAAAAAAAAAGGAGGAACTAAGGCGATGAACCTGCTTTTGAGTAATGTCAGAAGAATTAAACTGCCGGGCCTTTTTTTTTTTTTTTGCGAGCTGTAAACAAGAGCGGGCGATTTCACATCTCTCTTATAATGCTGAATATTCTTGGTGCACTATAATAATTGTAAGTCAGAGTGAGCTTCTGCTCCTGGAACGGCATGATATTCGCGAGGTGGACAAAACTGCATCATTCTGCATCTGAAGGGCGGGGTAAAGAAAAACAATCAAGGAAAATCCTAGTCCGTGAATTCACATATATTTGGCAGCTATGGTCCCTGCGCTTATCACAAAAATATGGGTCTTATTTGTAGAGACTCGTAGTAGATTCCCCATCCCAGCCTTTTCTAGACTTAAGAGGAACTGTCTACCAGGAAGTTCTTGGCTAAGAAATGTTTCTCTTCCTGGAAAAGAAAGACATATTTTCTATTATAGTCTAGAAATTAGATCAATCAATTAGATGCGTTGATCTGTATCTGCATTCTTGCAGATCTGACAAGAATAAGAGTTTATTTTTCAACATTGTCGTGCTTGGAGATGAATAACACTTGTTTCTAGCATCAGGAAGTGAAGAGGGTCATAGTTTGTAGAGGTTTCTTGAATTGGGTGGAGCAGGGAATTAAGTGAAGTTGGGCACTGCTGGCAGAATCTGTTCATTGCTTTTCAGACTGGTAGCTATCCTTTGTATCGTTGCCTATGGCAAGGTAAGAATTTCCTCCAGGTAAACAGCCAGTGAAAAATCCTTTCCTATTGGAAGTAAATTCTCCTTTTTACTGAGTCACAATTTGAACAAAAAAGGACAGTAGCTTTCATGAACATATCTTGAATGTTGAAATACTGGCTTATTTTCAGAACTTTAAAGAAAGGGAATGCTAGCTAATGGGCAGCCTTGGGCAACTGGTTCAGTGGTTAGATCAACAACATGAGATCTAATGCTGATACATTTTCCCATTTTAAATTTCCTATTTATTTATTCGCAAAATTAGATACTAAGTGTTTGTTATATGGCTGGTAGAGAAACTTTCTCCCACCAAGTACCTCTTAGATGTGTCAGGCTACAATTTGCATAATCCCAAACCAGCAAAGATATGTGGCTGGGAAGAGAATTTGCTTATTACAGTTATTATATCCCAACTTTCAGGATAACAAGTTTTCCCAAAGTGGCTTGCAAACAGTGTAAACAATTATAAATGAAAATGCAATACTATAGTCCCTTCTCTTTCTCCTTCTCCCTCTTCCTTAAAAGAAGTTTGGCTGACATATTTGAGGGAGACCATATTTGAGGGCTGATCTTAATAATGGGATTTGTTGGAGGTATAGATAAAGCTGTTGACGAATGCAGTAGAATATGTTTATTGCTCTGTCTTTGCCCTGGGGTTTTCGTGCAGAAGGAATGTTGATGTGACTTTGTCCCTGGGTCCAAAGACGCTATACTGAAGTGTGCAGAAGGATTGCTTTTTTATTGTAATGAGACTTTTACTGAAAGAAAGACTCACATGAAGGATGTTTATAATTTATAGATAATGAAAAATTATCTATAGCTTGTGGGTGTCAAGTAGCTGTTGAAAGAGAGATCTTGCTTAGAGTCTGTGGAGGTGATTATTAACTGTCAGGTGTCACTTAGCATCATTGGAAAACATGTGATTTATCTGAACCTTGAAATGATTTGGTCCCTGTTTAGCCCAACATATTAATTCCAGCACTGAGCACTTCTCCACGAAGCTCATAAGCAAAACAGCCCCTTACTACATTTACTCTTTGCCACTTCCTGCAATTAACTGGAACTTCAGTAATGGATCTAAGAAATGTTAATTTCTTTCTTTGTTAAGACATACAATGTTCTCACTCCTTTTTTTCTTTACATATCTTACTTCCAGAGACTTGTGGCACAATAATAACCACTTTCAGATCATGATACAGCAATCCAGTAAAGTCTTTGATAAATAAAGCTTAGATGCTTACATCAAAATATTTTGTTTATGAAGTTGAATCTTCATTTTTTGAAGCCCAACTGGCCCTTGGTGATTCTTGGCTGGCTGCTTTTTCAGATCCCCAAACCATCTTTTCCAAACTCCCTTCTTCTTCAGCTCTTCTTTTTGCCCTGTCTATTGTCTATGCTGCTCTTTATGGATTCTGAGCAGCTGTTCCAATGCAGGACTAGAACAGCAAGGCTTCATCTTTGTGACAGAAAGGTGGGTCAGTCACTCACCTCCACTATTATCCTTATTCTCTTCATATCCTCTCCTCCAGAAATACTGGCCTTTAGTCCCATAAGCTATAGTCTGTAGGGCTTGGAAGACACATTGTAGAAGGCTTCAGTTCAGTTTATCCACATATGTCATCATCTGTTCAAATAGTATTTCTGGAAATTGCTCAGGATTGAACTCAGTAAACCTCAAGGGGAAGGGTGTTCCACAGTTTTCTGGAGTAGCTACAGATAATACAGTTTTGCATGGTTACTTGATGTCAGCTTAGGCAATTCCAGATGTTTTGTTTTCCCAGCTATGATCATTGCAGATCTGGACATAACAGAGAAAAGAGATCTTATTGTGAAGACTCTTACCAGATTTGTATAATGGTTTCTATCATGTATGTATGTGTTAAACTTGCTAATGCTTTCAGACTAGCGTAAATCAGTAACATTTGGCTAGCTCAAGATCCATACCATTGGCTGGAGTAACCAGCCATATGTTGCTCCTGCATGATTCCACCTTCCTCCAGAGACCTAGTAAAGAGGGGAAGGGGACTGTTGGGGAGGAATCCTCTACTATTTTTGACAATTGAAGTAGGCAGCCCTGTCTGAGGATTTTCTGAAATCAGCTTGAATCAAGAAAGTTCTGTTGTCTTTGGAGGTATGGATCAAAAACTGAGCTGTATCTTAACTCATGTACTTGCTAAGTTATCAGTGGTAAACTATTTATTGTATTTTTATTTTATTTGGTTTGTCAATTGCCTACAAGATAATAGGTATAAGTAAAAACATAGTTATGAATACATGGATACATATAAGAAAAATAAAAGAAACAATAGGACAGGGACGGTAGGCACGTTGGTGCGCTTATGCACGCCCCCTAAAATAAGTGCTGTCCTGTTTTTATCAGATTGAATGGTAGGGACCTTGGAGGTCATCTAGTCCAACCCCCTGCTTGAGCAGAAGAGCCTATTCCAAATATTCTACCTAGGATCGAACACACAGCCTCCTTATTGTAAGGCAAGAACTCCACCTCTAGGCCACTGGAGCTACATAACTAGATGTTATCATAGCCACAAAAGCAGTGCTATATAACACTGATTAATATCATTAAAATATTTGTATTATATTCTTCATTATTCTTCATTTCACAGTCACAAGGCAGTCTTTTAAACATGTTTTAAAATCCTGGTGGGATGTTTAGTTTAAAAAAAGCATCAACTAAATAAATTAAAGGCAGCAAACACATCAAATATTCAACACATATCAACCAGCTTAATAAATTAGTTTCAAATGTCTAGACAAAAATCTGATTTGGACGCGGTGCTTAAAAAAAAAAGAATGTCAGCATTGATTGGGTGGCGTCTTCAGAGTCTGTGCACCACAGTAGCAAAGGCACAATTCTTTTTCATCTTTGGTCATTTGAGTGGGAATTCTTAGTGTTGCAATCCCAAATCATATGGAAAGTCCCAGTCTCCTCAAACATCTAGTGAAGCACCCTTTGGATAGTGAATTTATAAATGTGCAATGAAGGCGAATAGATTTGTAAACTTTGGTATAAAATGATTGTTTCCTCGTAGCTAGTACCCATCTGGATCAGTTGTGCATGGAAGTTTGATTTCATAGGTAGCTCATTTCACATTATTCCAATGACTCACAAGGTGAGAGGGAATGGAACAGATCACTGGAATCAAAAGTACCCACATGGAGTGGGTGTGCCTTGTGGTTGAAGTGGAATAGGATTATCCTGAGTTTTAAATGTATTTTAACTAATATTCTATGCTCCTTATATATAGATGTTGCAATATGCCTAACATTCAGGTGAAGTATGGAATCATATTTAAAATATAAACAAGAATCTGGTAATTTAAAACTAGGTCAGTGTAAGATAATATTTTGAACTCTCAAAAGTGCTAGGAGCCCTGTTACTATTTTTAATTGTTCCTATGAATGAACATGTACTAGTACCTGGTAAATATTGGAATAATATCCAAGAACAACAACAAAAAAAGTTCATAACAAATGTCTACACCTATTTATAAATGGGATATGTATATTGGACCACCTCTTCTTGTAAATATCAGTGAGTAGGTTATGTGTTTCAGCCCTTGGAGTGCAGTGCAGAGCTTTCCTATTTATTAATTAGAGCAAGTTTCTCTAGAAGTTTCCATGTGTTTCTGAAGCTCAAATTATCAAGTGGTTAATTATGAAATCACATTGTGTCGTTCTTTGGAAAGTACAATTATGTTTACTAGAGAGAAACACTGGGACATAAAAAATGTGGTTAGATGTTATAGAAATGAGGATGGCCCTGTGAACTAGCAAGCTTGGAGTATATAAAAAATGAATTTCTAATGGATGGATCCTGAATGTTAGGAAATGCTGTGATTTATGAACCTCTCCTCCTTTGGATCTTCTAGAGAGGACTCCCTGTTTGAGCAGCAGTTTGACTGAGTTCTGGTATCTTTCTGTTCTCTTGATTGTGGTTTGGACTTTGGTCTTGCCTCTTGGACTTTTTTGTTTTTTTGGATTGACTTTCTTTTGGAATCCTATATCATGACTTCTGGTTTAATACAGACTGCCTGTAATCCAGCTATGACGCATTGCTGGAGCAAAAAACAAGCGTGGCAAAAAAGGAAAAACAAAAGGCTTGGCTCATATTTTTTATCCAATCTGGATAATAGCTAATCTGAAAACTTCATACGGCTTGCCTAATACTCCTTTGCTTGAACGCTATATATGGGGTGTACATATTACAAATACACAGAAAGACAAAATTCTCTGGTGTGGCCCCAAATTTGCAAAATTCTTGGTTCAGGCATTGCAATTAAAGTTTGAAGTTGAACTTATTCTATTTCAGTGTTTTACACAGTACAGAATTCCCAAGGCAATACAAACCCTGCCCTTTATGAATAGCTGTGATTAATGTTGATAGATTAAAAGCCACCCAAATTCTTTTTTGTGCTTCAGTACAGAAAGTGATCATGATTGGGGCTTCACATCATCTACCCCACACTAGACTTTATTAGGGCTGTTTGGGAACTTTCCATCTTGTGGCTTTGATAAAAACCATGTTGGAGAATAAGGATCTTGTGAATACTGGCTGGTGTGACATTGTATTGGATTACAATATTATCATTGATTGTGTACATTGCTAGTTCTTACAACAGTTAGCCAGTCATATGTTCTACTGGGCTTGAGTTTACTCTAGATTGCTCCTTTACTCTCTGTATGATACTGTATTGCAGGCCTGGCCTATCAAACTTCTGGCCCATGGGTCACGCCCAAGCCTGGTTTAACGAATGGGGAAAAGGTCCCAATATGTCACATGACACGGTCGTGACGACATGAGTTTGGCACCCCTGCTGTATTGCAACCATAATACAGCATGATTAGTGAATTGTGGAGATTTCAAATAAAATGTATTTGTTTCTCTAATTAGATATATGAATTCTTCAGCTAGTTCTGTTCTGACCAATGTGACCAGCAGCAGAATGTCACAGCTTCAGGGAT